CGCCCCGCCCGGGGAAGGGGAGGGCACGGCGGTGAGGCCACGCCCCCGCCCCCTCACGCCCCGCCCCCCCACGCGGTTTTTGCGCGGGTCGGGCCGCGGTGGCAGCGCTCCGCTGTCAACGTCCCGTTTCAGGAGGCGACCGAGTGCGGGGTCAGCGATGAAGCGGTGCCGGATCTCCCGGAGTATTCCGGCGGTACAGAATTAGAGGTGAGCGGTGTTGGCACCGGCTGCTGCCGTGGGGAGAAACCCACGGGGCCGCGGACACCCGTGGCTAGCCGGGGCCTGAGCCGTTCCGTTGCGTTGCAGGGCGTTCGGGACGTGCGGTATCAGTACGTGGGCTGCTCTGTCCGCGCTGACGGGGACAACATCACCGTGACGGCAGAATTGTCTTTGAACAACTCGTACCAGGTATACGCAAGAGACCGCGCTCCCCTGCCGTGGTTCGCTAAAATCCGTTACCTGCCAGAGGCCCAGGGTGAGGGTTTCTTCTGCATCGCAGTGGAGATGTCGCTCTTCCACGTGTGATGCTGTTTTCTGACCCTGCAGAGCACGAGAGATGTTTTGCTCATGCCAGTGTCTCCCAGGAGGCGCTTGGCACTTACAAGAGATGCTGCGGTCTTCTTCCTTCCTTCAGAAATTGCTCCTTGTGAAATGACTCTTACAGTACTGCAAGCTTTCATCACTCCAGACAATTTCTCCTGAGTGATAGTTACATATAAAGACATATATATAAGACACAGCTTGGTGGCAGCACTGTACAGGGTGGTTCTTACAGTCTGAATAAGGGTTTGCTGTTGCAATCCATTTTTTTTTCTGGAAAGACTGCAAAGCAACTGATATTTTGTTCCTTATATTTCTTTTCCCATAGTTCTTAAAAAGCAGAACTGTTCTGCTGGTCCATGGAAAAATCACCTTCAACAGAGAACTATATCTGGGGCTGAAAGAAGAGAATCATAATGCTGAGGTATCAGAGCATCATGTGGGCAGCTTGGTCCTTTTCTTGGGGCAGGAACAAGTGGGAAATCCAGACGTTTTTGCTGAATCTAGAGAACCAGTCAAATTCCCAGAGTTAAAATCTGGACCTTTTGAAGCAAATATCTGTTCTGCCATTGAATTTAGTGAAATCAGGTTTGGACTATAGGATAAAAGCAGAGGGAGGATATTTGCTAGTGCATATCAGAAAAGTTTTTAGGGTTCTATATTGAACTCTATGTATCTGGCAGTTGTGGCTAACACAGAGGCCTCCTGTCCTCTCAAGGATTTCAACGTGAATATTCCTTCTCTTTCCCTAGTAAAGACATGCTTTTCTTTAATCTGAAAGATTGTTACTCGTGATTACTGTAATCACTGTAAACTGGTAAAAAAGACTCAGTAAATTTAACTCCCTTGACTAGGCTTGCAGTGAAAAAACCAAAATTCATATTGTATTGCAGAGTACCTGCAGTGATAGGGTGATGGTGCATCTAGCATAGTTTCTAGAAAGGTTGAACGCTAGCTCAAGTTATATAGCTTTCTCAGTTAAAAGCTAACCAAGAAGAAATAACTGGGCTTCAGTATATGCTAACTTGGCTTTGATTCTGTTCCAGATTACTCTTGTCCTCCTGAAAGACGAAGTGTTTTATCCCTTGCCTGTTATCATAGGAAGCTGTGTTGGTGGACTTCTCTTGCTGGCGTTCATTATTCTGCTCCTCTGGAAGGTGGGTATCATTAATGCACACACAACAAACCAGAAATCTTTTTGTTAGATGTTTTAACTTTTTTCAAGATTTCTCTTAAGTATGAAAGCGATGTATTCAAATGCGCACTGAGGGACATCTGCTGCTTACTGTTGTAAAACCTCAGTCTCACATTTTGAGCTATTCTGAGCATTGCAATATAACCTTTTAAATCCTGTTTTCAAGTGCTTTGTAGAATATTTGAATGTTACAAAGTGTTTAGAGATGTTCTGAAGAGTTTTGAACAATGTAGACCTTCGGGCTTACAGCTCTGCCAGAGTTCATACCTGGGTTGCATCCTGCATTCACTCATTCACTTATTGCAACCCTGAGAAGGAAAAACTTGAAATTTTAATTTTAAATTGTTTTAAGAAAAGGCAGAAATTAATGGATACACAAAGACTTAATCAGTTCTTTTCGTTCTTTCCCCAGTGTGGCTTTTTCAAAAGAAACTATAAAACCATGATGGAGCAAGAAGATACCTCCTGAAGACCGAGCTGGCCAAAGCAGAAAACTCTGTATTCTTTCACCGTCTTTTTGGAAAGAAGAGAGAGTCTCTCTTTGCCAGTGTCAAAGTCTGGCTAAGATGCAAAATAATTTCTATTCCCTGGTAGAGTTATGGCACTCCAGTTCTTGTGACTCTCCCAGATTGCTGTTTTGACCATAAGGGCCCAGCTCTTTTGGGCAATCCAGTTGCCTGCTTGTTTAATTCAAACTGATATCATAGAGGGACTGCCTGGTATTGATAAACTGGACTCCTCATGAGAAATTTTGCTTTAATGGAGATATGTTAGGAAAAATTCATCTTGGAGCCTGTTAGATTTATGTATTGGATTGCAGTCTTAGTTGCTGGGATGCTGAGTGATTCTTAAATTGATTTTAGTACTGAGTAGCTTCAGAATAGATTGAAATAGAAATGGATTAGGGGAAACTTCCCATCCTGCTATTGCTAATGAAAATGGAGAGACAAGCATTTTGCATATACATGTATATACATATATATGTGCGTGTATATATATATACACAAATTTGTGCATTTTAATACAGTAAAGTATGTCACTTGATGTCTCTGGTTCTTGGAATCAGAAGTGTGTGTATGTGGCAATTAGTTTTTTGTACCTCACAATCTTATTTCTGATTTTCCATTTTCAGTTGCTTTCAAATGCTGATTTGGTCACAAATAAAAACTTGTATCATGGACCTCATTGCCAGTTCAGACAGACTCCTCCTATGTCAGGAGATATTTCCCCAAGTTAGCGTGGTTCATCACACCTGAATCGAGGGCAGAGCCAAGCAGTGAGCTGCAGTGTTGACCACAGCAGTGTTGCCATCCTCCCTGGTGCATGTGTGACAGAAAGTAGTGTGAATCATGAGCAATCTCACTTTAGCAGCTGCAGATTATCAGTAATTGCAGTTTACAGCGTTTGGGGAAAGAAGTGCCTAGCTGAGCCCAGTGGCTGGCTTTAGCCAGTGCCAGGTGTTTTCTTTCCTGAGCCATGAAATGGTCTCGGGTCCCCTCAGGTGTTTGCTGTTTCCAAACGAGAACAAGTACAGACACTTGGTACTCTTCCTCTCGTTGGCTTTCTCTGTCCCTAATTGTGTAGTTGTTTTATTTCTGTTGTGTTTGGCTAACTGTAAACCCCACAAATCTAATGTGTGTTTACACACAGCAGTAGATTAAACAAAGATTTTTCATTCAGACCCTTGGAAGGCAAAACGGTTCCTGTCTCCTTTGGCTTAACCAATACTGCCTGATGGAAAACTAAAGTTAACAAGCATTAACTAAAGTTAATGTGGCCTTCATTGAAGTTTCCTTGTAAAATTCCAGTCTGGTACCCAGGTAGTGCTATTAATACATCTCTTCAAGGCTATTGCAGGGAACAGCTTCCTGATGGGATGGGCATCCTGCAGGCTGTAGAAGCCTGGGTATGTCCTAGCTCTAAATTTGGCTGCCAAACAGGCAGAAGTTAAAAGGTGCTAAGCACACTGGCCTGCCTGCTTAGGACAAAAGTAAGAGGTACCACAGCAAGATACTGTTTGAGTAATAATAGGGTCCTTGTGTGCTTTCCAACAGTACAAGAGAGAGGTGCAGAGATATCGCAGTGGCATCCAGATCAATCAGCAGCTGCCGCCATTCTTCTGGCTCGAATTTCTTTCTCTCCCTCCACCCCCCAGCTGGTTGTAGAGTTCCTTGGAGCTGCATACAGAGAGTGAGTCACTCCAAATCTGCTTACAAGTGCCAGGGATTGAGGAAATGAGACTTCCTAGGTGAGAGCTCAGAAAGGAAATGTGTGTCTGAACCAAAGAACCACCTGTGTCAGGTTTTTTGTCATAACAGGTCTGTACTATTTGGAAAGAAATGTGCTTTGCCTGGTCTGAATAGCTTTATTGTCACCCCCCTTTGTATAAATCCTCTTTTTTGTAGTGTTTTAAATTGAATCTTCTTTGAAAATAAATTCTTGCAAGAGAAGCTCGACTGTGTATTGCACTTGCTGGCTGAAGGTGATTTGAGCATTTTGCTGTACACTTTCCCAGGTAGCATAGCAAGTCTCTGAGGCTACTCTTGATCACTCAGTCTGGATTTTGGCAGAGCCATTACAAGTTGTTCTTTGCATGTCCCTGTGTGGAAGGACCTTTATGAGGAATTAAGTACATGGAAAGCAGAATATGCTGGGCTGAGAGAGAGAATCCCTTTGAAGAGCTTCAGGAAAGAGGGTGGCTCCAGTCGACACAGTAGTGCACAGCAGTGACTGAGGTGGTGGCTTTACAAGGAAGGCACTTTTTTGAAGGTTCCTTTTTTATTCACTTAACTAATTTATTTTTAAGTTTCAGGGCACGTTGGCTTTTCTTAAGGGAGGGAAATGTGTTGTCTGCTTTTTCCACTGCTCTAGACAGGTCTTGCAGTGAGTGATAGTGGTGCGGACAGCTGTCAGTGAAAGGACTGCAATATACCAGCAGCTGGGGTCTTGCTGCCCATCCTCCCTCCCAGACCTTCTCCATTTCACACGGAAGTCCTTCCTGTTCTGAAGCACCTGGAGATCTCTACAGTCAGATCATACTTGGTAAGTCTGGGCACAGAAAAGCTGCTTGTAGTTTTCTGATTACTTTCGTAAGGGAAGGACTGTTAATTGTAGAAGCTATACTAAGAATAAGGAGTTGCAAGGAGAGTTTTCTCTTCTCAAGGCTAAACAAACCCAGCTCCTTCAGCCAATCTTGTTATTCTCCCTCTTTCTCCCCTTTTTTTCTAGTTTCTTCTCTGAATTAAGTTTCCCTCATTACTTGGATCCCTTTTGTTGTCCCTTATGGCTCTCAAGGAGGTCAGCTCTTGCAATGGGTGATACTATTTTCCTTTTAAGATGTTTTTTTCTTAAATGCACTACAGAGTTCTGTGACTTGTAATTTCCGATGAGTGCCATCCGACCATTTAATTCTTTGCAATTGCTGTAGTAGATGCCAAACACATTTGCAGTAATTGGATGGCACTTAAGGGATTAGTCAAGACTGCCAAGACTCACAGTCATCCAAACCACAGCTGGGTTTTTGTGCTGTTTCCATGGAATCCTTGCTGTGTCTGCTTCTAAATTTATTTGCAATCTGCATTTTGAATAAAATCCCCTGTGCAAAACCCTTGTCAACATTTGTGGTCTTGCTGTGTGGCCCTGACTTTATTGCACTCTGACAGTGGCACAGTTATGCCATCTCCCTGAATGACAGAAGATTTGCAAATGGCTCGTTCAGAGTCATTAAACATCTGACCCCAGCCAGGCTAACATGTTGGCAGGCTGTTTGGGGTCCAGGTGTCATGGGCAGAGAAGCTGCCACAGACACCCTAGAGGCCTCTGAGCTGTAGGGGTCATTCATGATCTTTGTGCATCACGCAAAGGTGGCAAGAGTGTCTGCAGACCCGCAGTTTCTTGGGGTGAGAAGAGGGAGGAGGGAGGGTCTCTCTGCTCTTGAGTAGGAAATACAGACTAGTATGGATTGTGTCCTAAACTCTTTTACATTCAGGTCTGTTCTCCCAACAGTGCTCATTAGGCTGGAGGGACTTGTTATTCTACCTTTGTCTTGCTCTGTTGGGGAGAGATGACTCTCAGTGCTGCTAGTAGCTCAGGAGAGCAAGAACAGATGTTTGTTCTGTACCCATTGGTGCTGATCATCCGTCCCCATCAGCTGTCTTAGCTCAGAGTCCTGGCTTGGCTCCATCACTCCAGGTTTGGGCATTAGCTTCTGGTAGGTGAGCTTAGTCTGATAGATTTTGGCTATTTTTGCGGTGATTTGACCAAGGAGTAGGAGGTGTGAAGGTGGGTGGTGACTGGTGACGGACAAGAGCTGATGTATCTGAGATAGCTTTTTAACTGTATCCTTGAAGGGGAGGACAGGATGCGTTTTGCGATGCTATTTTAATCAGGGGTGATACCAGCTGCTTATGTCTTTCTCATATGCCAGGAATATTCGCAAGCCCTGGGTTATAATTCCCTCAGCGTGTTCAGAAGCTGACAGGTTCGTGTGTTGAACTGTGGGAGTGCGGTGGCCTGGTGGTTAGCAGGAGAAAGTGAAGTGGAAGTCGGCTGCTCAGGAAAGCTTATCAGGAAAAGGGCGTAAGTAGTTCTCCATTATTAAGTGCAGGGTGCTGACGTAAGAGCATCAGATAGGAGCCATGAAGTGCTTTGCTGGGCTTGAGAGCCTGTTGGGGCAGCTTTATTTGGAGGCTAATTGGATTGCAGCTTAAAAGAGAAATTTCCTGTCTCTTGTTATAACAGGATGAATGAGCTGGAATGGAGCTGCGCTGCTGCAAGCAGGTTGCTCCGAGACTCTGCCAGCTTGGCTAAACCAAGTCCAGCATGTCTGTGCAGCACAGCTGGGACACATCAGCCTCTTGCCAGTGGTAACACGTAACTGGCCTAGAGCATCACCAGCCTGCAGAGCTAAGGCAAGGTCAGGTGTTGCTCGTAAAACCTTTTCCTCTGGGAGTCAAGTCTGAGTAGCATGTATGTTTTCCCATGGCTGGAAAAAGTTACCAGTTGGTAATTCCAGGGAGGAAAGGGCAGGGCAGAGGCCTCGGTCTAGACTTTCCAGCTGTTTATGTGATGAAGGTGAAGGAGGGGGATGAAGGTGTCTCTTCAGCATTTGCAGCAAGCAAGGTAAGCTCTGACGGAGCTATCAAGCCAGGACCAGTTTCATGTCTTTCCAGGTCAGGAACGATACACGTTGGCAAAGAAGTAAAAACTTGATCTGTCAGGTATATTCAAGAGCAGGGTTTCACCTTTAAGTCAGTGGTTAATGTGAATACACATTTTATTAAAACTGTTCAGCTTTCAGGCTTTGATTTAACATTCTCCTCTTATTCCCCAATGATGCTTTTATTGGCTGACTTTAGAAGGTGAAAACATTGCAATACAGCACTGCATAATGCTGCTGTTCCAGCTATCGTTGCACTCAATCTCTTAGCAATGTTTTATGTGCATTTTTATTTAATTTCTGTTATCTGATTCACTGCCAGCTCTCTCACAGAACAGGGCATGATGGATTAGTTTCATTAGACGTGCAGTATTTTTCTTTCCTCTCTGGCCCTCTTCCTCAAGCACTTTCACTTCTTGGATTGGGGGAGAGGAGTGGATAAACACTCCGGCTAATGATAACAAGACCTCCTGCACACTATAGGAGAGTCAAGACTTGGGGGAGAAACCTGGAACGCATTCAAAGGCTGAAAATGGCCCTCCTGGAAAAGATGAGCTGAATCAAAGAGAGAATATATTCTGGAACTTCAGCACACTTCCATTTCTTACTCCTACAGAGAGGTTTGGATGGTGCTGTGGATAATGGCAGAAAGACTCTTTGCACAGATTCCCTTTCTAGGTGAAAAAAAATTTGGATGTTTTTCTAATAGCTCCTGAAAGAAAGATTTCCTTCTCCATTGTGGCTGGGTGTGCAGTGGCACTAGTTAGGAGGACAAATACTGAGGCTGATTTTTGTCAATTTTTCATTGGCAAGTGGCAACCTACTTCTTATTTACACCGCAAAGTCACAGCGGGGATTAAAATAGAAGCTGAATGGAGCATTTTTCACTGCAGGCTGCATACACGTTTCTTTGTTCTTGCATCTAAACACATCATCTTCAGAAAGCAGCTTATGCTTGATGTTACTGATTTCCATGTGTTTCCGTGTGCATGAGCTGTGGTTTAAAAGCAGCTTCCTCTTCCAACCTGTTCAACTCTTCCCCTCAGTTTTTTTTTTTTTAGATGTTGTCCTACAAGTATGACACTATGAGAAAAAACCACTAATGGAGGGAGCTGACCTCTGCCTTTTCCGCTGTTCATTCCCTTGCCAAAATAGTTTATCTCCTATTTACATCCCCTGATCCTTGTCTCCTTTCTATTTCAGTAGCTGGTCTGGCACCTATTTCTAAAGGATGATGCATCTGCATCACTCAGGCATTTGCTGCAGGAGCATTTCCAGTGCTTCAGAAATGTCTCAGCATCTTATGAGTCAGCCGTCATGCGTTTGGGAGCCAATGTTTTCTGTTGTACTTGATAACTCGGTAAAGGGCGGAGTGGCAATCACTGAGAGAATTAATGCCTGGGGGTGTTTGTTTGGAACTGGAAGCGAACAAGACAAGTGCCTAAAACAGGCACCTCCAGCAGTCACTCGTGAATCACGTCTGTACTGGCCAGGGCTCTCTGCCATTGCCCAGAAAACGTGTGGTCTCTTTTGGGTGCAATTTAAAGACATTTTTGGGGCTGATGTTGAAATGTTTCTGTGCTACAATACCATAGAGAGACAGATGTGACTTCACTGTGTTTCAAATGGTGCTGTGTCAGGGCAGAGGTCTAAAGTTTAGTTTCCACAGTCCCTTTACGTGGCATTTACAGGCTCCTGACTGGGCTGAGTTCAGCTCTGGGGCAGCTTAACACCAAAAATGCTACTGACAAGTGGAGGGAAATGTAGAAGAGGAGCAGTCTGGGCAGAGAGGGATGTGTACCCTATGACTACGGGTGAATAATGAGAAGGCAATCACCATGAGCAGTATGAGGAATTAAGTATAGGTGGAATGTTGGGAATAAAAAAAGGGAGAGTTTTGCTACTGGAGGAGAAGTCCTCCCTGTGAGAATTTCCAGACTGAGCAAATAGCCCTCATGGGAAAGGAGCAGAACTGTTTTTTTCCATGGGAAATTAAAAATGTTGGACTCGAGAAGGGAGATACCTTGCAGAAGAGATCCGGCCTCAGTCCCTTGAGAAGGACTGAGATACTACTGGGTTTTTTTTCTTTAACTTATGATGATTAGATTTTGTTAGATTATTTACTTCCCCCCGGGAATGAAACTGCTTATGTTTGAACAACCCACAGATACTTTGAGGAACACACCAGTAATCTTGATTCACAGGCAAGAAAAAAAAGTAAGGCTGTGAAAACTAGAAGATGATAAGAACAGTATCTGTAAGAGCATGCCAGCAACAGTGTTTTCAGCACAAATCTAGCCTGTGCTGAGCACTATTCAGAATATTCTGCAGTACATTTGATACAAATTGAAGCTTTTTATTCAAAAACAACTGTTGCAACTGTGCTTCTACTTGATGGCTCTAAAAAACCAAGAAAAGTATCAGTTTTACATCCTTTTTTTTATTTTAGTGATCAAACCTGGTTGACATCTTCAGGTCACAACTATAGCAGGAACACTTATCACTCTAAGGAACATTTTTTCTAGCCTATGTAAATCCTTTCTCGCATTAATTGACCTAGAAAATAATTACAAAAATTCATAGCAGACCTGTGTCTGTGCCATTAAGTAAAACCAGGCCAGGAGGTAATGCACTGTTTAATTGCTAGCCAGTTTCTTGGTCTGATTTCAGCCTGTGCAGTCACCCAGACAGATGAGGAAGATGGGGATGGAGTGGGGAGGTCTCTAGACACCACCAAGGGCTGACTTGTCTCTGCTGATACTTCATTTGTCCATGAACCTGGGTGTCTTTAGTGTAGCAGGAGCAATGGTAGAGGCAGTCCTGAGACGTGGGATATACTTGCTGTTTAGTCCTGTCCCTGGAGCAGTTCCAGCAGGGCCAGGGCAACCAGATGGTGTTCTTCTGGGACCAGACCCGTGATCAGAAATGCTGTCACCCAGCAGCTTGTGCTTGCAAAGCGTCTCATCTAGGAGCAGATTGGGCAGAAGATCAAGTGGTGGCTCCTTTAGGATGCTCCTGCCTCCATACAGCTCTGGTTCCTGGAGCTGCTGGGTCAGTCTCCCTGTGCCCCAGCACTAACTACTTGGCTCTGGGGTCCGGGCAGTGGCAAGGGAAGATAGGCTGAGCCGACCTTTCTTCCTTACTTGTTTCTGGCTTCACGGACCGCTGTGGTCTCCTTCTTCCCTGCAGGACTGCGTTTTCTTGGAGGGGTTTGTCTCCTTTGGTTCTTATATGTTTTAAGATATTTTTAGTTGTGCTTCAGGCTTTCACACAGAGGATCTTTAAGACTGGAACTAGTGACAATGTGGTCTGTAGGCATCTGGTAAGGAGGGGTGGGTGCAATGGCCAAATACTGTTTGAGGGAGAGAGAAACCATGAGAAAGAGGGCTCCAGGTGGGGCTTGGGGAGCAGCCAACATGTTTTGTGAGATAAAGAGGGTCTGCCCGTGTGGGGTGTGCAGATAGGGAAAGGAGGGGTCACGGGCAGTGGGAGAAATGAGCAAGACCCAGCCCTTTGCTTGTGCTTGAGGCTGAAGGGTGGCTGCAAAATTTGGGAGCAGGGTTGGGGCTACCCCCGAGCCAGAGGGGCTGGGGTGGCCTTTCCCACCTCTTGGGCCCCAGGGGTGAGCGGACGGGGGGCGCACGGGAGCGGGGGGCTCGCTCCCTCGGCAGCCTGCCCGTCATCCCAGGAGCCCCTCGTGAAAAAGCCACGCGCAGAAGCGATCGCCAGCCGTGGGGCTGGAGCTGGGGAGTGCAGCAGCTGCCAGGTTAAAAGGAGGCCACAGGCAGATTTCTGTTCTAGTTTTGCAGTTACTGGAGAAAGGGGTTTTTTTTCGCTCTGCAGAAGGAAACTCTAGGGATGGCTGTGGGGCGAGGGATGAAATGAGGTATTTTGAGGATAGTGTTTCGTTCGTTATTACGCTGTTTGTGAGTCTCTTGTGATTTGGAGCTACCTTGTCACATATTCATTAAAAATCTGATGCATCTGTTTAAATTTGATACGGAATTTAAGGAGGATGAAGGATAAAATTTTCATAAAACCTGAGGTCTTGAGAATCATTCTGCCTGGGAAGAGAGTTGTGTAGGGCAGAGATGTGTGTGCTGGAGCAGATTATCTCGCTGTGCTGCCTGCTGCCTCCATAGTGTGACCCACTCTCTTGACCTGTGTTCAAGCATGTATCACAGTTGCATACTCTGTAATCTCAGGAGCCTTCCCGGTCCTGACAGAGCCCCGTGAGCTAATTGGGTGCTCACGTGTGAGTTAATTGGGTGCTCATGCGTGAATGCCGTAAACCCTGCACTTTATGCCTGATACACCACTTCATGTGTCTGATTAGACTCTCTCTAATAGATTCAGCCTATGGGCAGTCCACATCCCGTCCTCCCATCAGTGCACAACTATGGGATCCTCCCAGAAAGAGCACGCTTCAGTTTGGATCCCAGCTTGCTGCTGGATCTCCTCTTGATGAGGTACATTAGCTCTTTTAGCCAGGCTGCTGGAAGGTCCTGGCTTACGTCATTTTCCACCTCAGAGCTCATTCTGTTCCCCCTTTAGCCCCAAGACGGTGTCCACCCTTCTTGGTTAAAGTAACGGTCATTTCATGTCCTTGTATATGCACGTGCCTCTGTTAGACTGGGAGTCACTTCTTACAGTACTGGTTAATAAACAACTCTTATCTCAGTGACGGTTAAACTATTCCTCTCCCTTTGGTATTTTATCAGATGCTATGTTCTGTATGTTTGCCTAGCTCAGCACTCTACTGTACATTTTAGTGAGATGTGATGGTGATTGATCCCTTAACCACATGCAGAATTTATTTATTAGTTTCTTAAGCTGGGTTTTTGGTGGGAGGATGTAGCAGCCGGGCAGGTATTTATTTTGGATGACTGGTAAGGACCCAAGTTCTCATTGCTCATGTAAACGCTTAAGAAATTAAAAATTTAACCAGGTGCTTTGCCATCATGTAGAAGCTGAAGAAAGGCTTTAATACTTGACAGTGAGAGACTATAGCTCTGTCACCTTGGAAGCTGTAATGTGACTTCCTGCTATAACATGTTTCATTATGAACATTTTGTGATGGGGGGGAGAGAATGAAGCCTGGGGGCAAAACTGAGACGGGGGCTTCCCCAGAGGATGCATTACCCGGAAAGCAGCTAAGGAAGGATCTCGTGTTAGTGCAGCTGCTGGTTTCTGACCCGAGAGCTGCTGCCGGCGAGCAGCTGACAGGAGGGAGGAGATGAGCCTTTCGCTCTGAAGGGGTTGGTGTGTCAGGTTTCCATGCAGAGCACGTGTGGATAATGCGAGCTGCAAACGCTGCTGCCTGCTCCAGCCACCGGTACAGAGCGAGCCAGGAGCATGGGGCAGGTGGCTTGGAAGGGTTTATTTCTATCGCTTTTTGATTATAAAACGGAGAAATACGTCATTGCAAAGAACAAGAAGGTGGGGATTCTCTATCGAGTGGTGCAGCTCTCCATCCTGGCTTACCTGGTGGGGTAAGAATCGGCCTGCATTTCACATACTGCTGCGGTTGCGTTCGCTTGCTGTGGTGTGATGAAGATTAATGTAGGATACTCTGCATACAGTGACAGCTTGCTATGCCTTATGATTTTAATGCAGATAGTTATGCTTGTTTATACAGCTGGATTTTTTTTAATGTCTAATAGATTGTATCTGATTTTTTGCCTGCTAGGGATCGCTAGATTCAGCTCTACCTTCCAGATTAACATTAGGTTAAAAATAGATCAAATGGCACTATGGCTTTGTACTGCATTATTTACGCCTTTATTTCTGTATTCGGTGGGAATGGTGCCAAACCTTAACACCTGACTCATTAGAAACAATGGCATTTATGGCTGTGGTTGCTGAACCTTGGGACAAACCTGGGTTGTCTGCATGACGGTGTGACATGCTCAAGTCTAAATGGGAGGGAACCAAGCACAAAGTGGCAGATTTCTTTGCTGGAGTGGGCTGCAGCAGCCAGGATTGTGGAGGTTGAAGGCAGCGTGAGTCGGCTGCCTTGCGTTTATTTCAGAGCAGGGCGAGTTGGCATGGAGATAGCTAGAGCACCTCTCGGAAAAGGCCCAGTTCTGCAAGAAGCTGGTCACACTGACATGTAACAAATGCAGCAATACTCCTTGCAGCTTGCAGTCTCGGACCTGGAATTCTCTCGCCTATGTGATGCCTCTGCCATTGCTTCCTGAGTTTCTGAGGCTTTGCAGAAAGTGATTCATAGGTCTTTACCCTCACTGTCTGTGCTTATGAGTCCCTTCACCTTTCTCACACCTCGTGTTTTCACTGATTAAATATAGCAGAGTAATTTTTACATGCTGGCTTTATTTATAGAAAGGTGTACAGTTCCAGAGCCTGCTTTAGTTAGTAGGGCAGAGATGAAGTCTCAGCAGTCTGGCATGTATTAGCTGCTAAAGGAGGAATCCTGTAGATAACATTGCCGAGGACACATCCTCTGTCCAAGAGGGATGTAGCGTGTCCAGTGACCGTGAGTGTTCAGACACTGTCTGTGCCATACAGGCTTTTCTCTTCCCTGGGCAGTTACTGCCTTCTGCAAACCTTTGGCACTGTCACTGATGGTGCCTGCAGTGACTCCTTTGTGGCTGGGGGCTCGTAGTGTATCGCAGAGGTGGTTAGCGTTAGTCTGATGTCTGACGGCTTGATTACGTACCCATACCTGTTCAGGGGCTGGCTCGGGGGTCGTGATCATCAACGCCTCTGGATCCTTTCTTGCATGTAGCTGCCATTTCTTCCCTGATTCACTGTGAAAACTGTAAGGGTCTGCTTTTGAGCCCTCCTGGGAGGGAAGAACAGGGTTCTCGGGGAAAACAGGAAAGTAGGAGACTTCACAGGGGTGGAGAATGTTATTATTCAGGTTTGTCACAAGTAGCAGGTGAAGGGCAGCATATGTCAGTGCTGCTCAGCCCCAGAGATGGCTGCTTTCCCTTTCTGCATGCAGTAGTGCACTCCAGGTCAGTGCGCTGCAAAGGGGAGCCATGCCAGCAAATGCAGCCTGCGTCCCTCTCCCAGAACCTGCCCTGGCACCCTTACCTTCTTCAGGGGTCTGGGTGATTTGTTGTCTTGGCAGGTGACTTTGGCAGTATTGTGGAGAAGCTGGAGGCATTTCATTTAACCCAAAGAAGTTTTCACCCTATGATATGGAGCTCTTGCTGCTTCCAGTGGGAAGAAGTAGGCAAAACCTTTTCCTGGAGTGCTTAGCGAGGCAGCAGCTCTTCCACGTGTGCTAGTGAGAAGCCTGAAGCCCAGTGCAAAGGCCAGGGTACAGTCAGGTTGTTCCCATCACGCTGGCTTACAAAAGATCCTGTATCCAGCTGAGAATATTCCCTACATATTTCTGTTAGTGATACGCAGTTCACCTGCTGGAATTGCAGGTCTCCAGCCATGATCTGTTGCTGGACTGGTAGCCTAATGGCAGGCTGCTAAAATGGGAGTGAGTCATGTATTGTGAAACAAACCACACTCTTCACCGCAACTTGCAAAAGCTTATGTTATTTTTCATCTTGAGGAAGACAGAGCCCTGCCTTCCCCTCCTTCCGTGGAGGTTGCTGAGTGTAGCACAGGACAGGGAGGTGGGAGGCTTTGTTTTTTTACCCTGTGACAAGTTACTACACCTTTTGCTGCATGTGAGGTCTTGGTCCTGACTTTTCCTCCAGTGCTGTAGATACGCACAGCTTGTGCCAAAGAGTTTATTCTAAATTTGTAGTGGTGCTTGCACAGGGTTTGGTGCCATTGGCATGTTTTGGTTTGCCCTTGAACAGTGTTTGGCCTTGGTGTAAATCTTCTCTGGCTTACTTGTTCCCTGACCCCACTTGCTAATGCTGCTGCCTGCTGTTTTCTTTGCAGGTGGGTGTTTGTTGTCAAGAAAGGCTATCAGGACACAGACACATCCCTCCAGAGCTCTGTCATCACCAAGCTGAAAGGAGTAGCTTTCACCAACACTTCGGAGCTGGGGGAGAGGCTGTGGGATGTTGCAGACTACGTCATCCCTCCACAGGTCGGCATCACCCCACTGCTATTGTCTGCCATTCAGCTAGAAAGACATTTTCCAGCGTGGTTGCTGGTGGAAAGGCTGAAATGATGTATCCAGGTCTTTCCTGTGAATAAGCAGGAGGTGGCCTACAAGAAAGCAACGCTATGCTTCTCTTAGGTCTTTCCAGCAAATATCAAAGCAGTCTTGTCTCTCTCACAAAGGTCTGTGATACTTGGCAAGCAGAACTTTGCAAGCAGAAGTCGCTTGGACTTCAGTGGGTCTGCTCAGCTGAGCAAAGCGTCTGCTTGCCTCCATTCCTGGGCTAGAGCAGGCATGCATGGGGCAGCCCAGAGCAGGTGGGAGATGGAAAGAAAATGTGGTGCAATTTGAGTGATGAGGGTTGCTTGAAATGTCTCTGGCTAAACCTGCCTTGCTGCTTCCTTGACTTGGACGAAGTGAGATGCATAGCTGATGCTTAAGGGGAAAAGATGGCAGCAGATGTGGCCAGGCACCACGTTGGAAGTTGCCCATCTGTGCTTGCCAGGGCTGTTTGTGCTTTCCCTGCTAGCGTCCACCATGTGCATGGAAAGGTATGAGGGGAAGATCGGGGTGCTGTGCAGACAGGGGGAAGAAAGCTATAAACTGAACAGTTTACTTGTCTGTACATAAGAATAAAACTTCACCTTCCTGCTGCTGCAGCCCACGTTTACTCAGGCCTATGGATCTGTGCTTTGTACCTCCACCAATTTCAATGCAAAGCCTCAGTTTCAGAGTGACATTTGCTGTGCAGCAGGAAGGCCAGGCAGCATGCTTGTGGTGCCTCTTGTTCAAGCTGTGTCAAGCCCTGGGATGCTTAGAAGGTGGCTGGTGTGCACATCCAGAAATGAAATGGTGATGCTGACCAGTATTTTAACTCGTCAGATGTTTCTCCTGTGACTCAATGGTCTTGTTACTGCGTGTTGGCTTATTGGGAGGCGTTGTAGTGTGGTGTGCTGAGTAAAGATAGCCAGCTCTGCCTCTGGGCTGGTGTACTCTGCAGCGCAGATGTCTGGGCTATGGCATCATGAAGGCAAACATGACTGTGGAGTCAGGCTACAATATTGAATCCAACATTACTGCAGTCTGCCCCAGCATACGTCAGCCTCCAGCAACCCCAGTGATGTTAGACCCTGGGCTCACAGTGAAACTCAGCAACCTCTGCGGGCTGTGAGTGCAAACATAGACATCTCACAAGCTTTCCTGTTCCATGTGCTGATTAATGTTTGTCTGCTGAATGTCTTGGGTCACCTGTGAGATGTGTCCTGGATGGGTTTTTAGGAGTGTCTGAATGCCTGCTACCAGCGCATTAAGTGACCTGCATCTGCTAACTGCTGCATGATCTCTCATTTCACTTTGGAGGGAGAGTCCCTCGCTGTCCTGCTGGATCTGGGTGGGCTGGTTTGTACTGGAGAGATCCAGGTAGCAGAGTGGGAGGCAGTGAGGGCTGGGAGAAACCCCATCTCCTCCACAGAGCAGTGGGCAGCTCTCCTGACCCCACAAGCGCAGCTGCTGACCAACGTGTCCCTCCTGCTGAGGACAGACATACCTGTGTCCCAAAGCACTGGTGGGATGTGGGGTAAACCCACCCCACGCAAAGCACAGTGAGGGAAGGAGAGCGAGCCAGGTGAGTGTGAGAGCGCTGAGTTCTGCTCTCATGAATGGAAACCTGAGATCTCTGATTTCTATGTGCAACAGGCAGGCCTGTGTGTTGGAAGGAGTTTTCTGAGAGACTCTGGAATAAACAGCATGCACTCAGCTTACTGAAATTCATCCCTGAGGGCCTTTAGACAGGGTGAACCAGTGCCACTTTGGGGTTAAGCTTAATGTAGAGCAGGGATTCACCTGGTAAATCCTTCACTTGTAGCTTTCTTGGGCTTGTTGTCTGACAGGTTTGCAGAAAAGTCTTGTTCCCTGTTGTGGTTCAGAGCAGCCTTGCGGGGTTGGGGGTCCAGAGTTTGCTCCTGATGAGGTGTTTTATCAGCAGGTGCTCGCTTACACAAGCCACCAGTTATGGGTGGCAGGGCTTGACACACTGCTGGTTCTGGTCGTGGGTGAGGGTTTTTCATCTGAGATGCTCGGGGCTGCCCTGCCTCACGCCAGGACCATAGGCTGGCTCTGATGGTTATGTGTGTCCCCTCGGCATGACGAGGGACAGGCTCCCCAGTGCCGGGGGCTGTCAGGAGAGAACCCATGTTTCTGTAGCTGCCACCTGGTGTTGACCCTCCTCCCTTCCCCACGTGTGCACAGTATGGAGCAGAAATGGTAGAAGCACATGGTTTATTTCGGCATTCATTTCACTTCTGAGTGGCCAACCAGCCTCCATCTGCAGTGCTGTGGTAAGCTGCTTTCTCTCCCCTCTTGCTGACTGTACAACTGTCTTCAGGCTTGTTTTTTCCTGTGGTTTCCTTTGGTGGTTGGTTGTTAAGGGGAAAAGTTAACTGTTTTAACTTTTTGCTGAATGTGGGGAAGGGACCAAATAGAGGCTGTAAATGTGCAAAGACAGGAAGGCTCCAGGACAGGAGTCAGCTGTGCATATTGTGGCTTTGCCTAAATACAGAGGAAACACAACGCTGCCAGAAATAAGGATTTGGGGGATGAAAATGCAGTCAAGTCTCTCCTTGCATGTCTCAGGCATCCCAATGGCTTGATAAAGGGATCTGTATTCTCTCTATTACAGCCATGCTAGAAGTTCTGTGTTTTTATCACATGTCCAGAGTGTTGCACTAACTCTGCTCCTGCGCTGTGCCCTGCTGCCTTGCTCTGTGAGCTCAGGCTTGTAACAGCACAGCTGGGGCAGCCTGGCTGAGAACAAACACCCACGGCTCTGCAATGGGACAGGGCCTTTGATCCCTGATCAGGCACTCTGTCCTTATGGAAAAGGAGGACAAGTGCTTGCCGAGCAGCCAGCGAGGCAAGGCTCAGCTGTCCTGCTCACCAAATTAATGCAGCCTCTGAAGCAGAACGCCTTAAGCCATAGAGACTCGCCGACCTCATCCAAACAAATATCCAGACAAAGGGTGCTGTTGTATCTCAGCCTGAAAAGCATCAGGAGAGAGGGAGGTGTTACTGTTCTGCAGAGAACTGCATCCTCCTTGTAACAGGTACTTAAAGAGTAAAACAGTTTTTCTAACTCTTCCTGCCTTACTTTGTTTATTCTAGGGTGAAAACGTCTTCTTTGTCATGACGAATCTGATTGTGACCCCAAACCAGAGGCAAGCCACATGTCCTGAGGTAGGAAGAACTGAGCCCCTTGGCCCCCAGACCCCTACAAAACTGGGGGTAAGAACTGGCAGACGACATCTGGGGAGCAACGAACGCAGGAAGGATGAAAGGCGAATGTTTTTTTTTCTGTAGTGTAATATCTCAGTTGGGAAAATCGAACTGGTTACTGCAAACCTGGGAGGTTCAGCTATCGTAGTTTCTAGAGGCACTGATCATGTAGAGTCTTGCTGACCTTAGTTGAAGGTGTTGGACATCTGCCCAGCTGGAGATGAGACCAGAGCAGTCATTGCTCGGAGTCAGAAAAGGCCATAGAAAAACAACTTGGAGGTGACTCAGTCTAGTTACAGGTAGAGGAGACTTTCTAAGAGCCCCATCCTGGGAAGAGCTGAACATTCAGGCTTTCGTTACCTTCAGGATGTGGAAGGGTGCTTAGTACCTTCCAGAACGTGCCTTACAGGCCAGAGGCATGAGGTCTTTCTGGGTCATGTTGAAATGTCCTCTGTGGAGACGTGGTTCAGAATGGGCTGGAGCCTGGGGGAGGAGGACGCTGACCGTCCAGGCAGTGTTGTCTCCATGTAGCAGAGATTAATTTTTCCATATCACAAGCAAAGAGGTAGCCAAGGTTGAGAGCACAGCTTGCTTGTTCAGGACGCGGCTGTCCTCTAGTGGCTGCATTAACCCGGCATGCAGCCCAGAGAAGGAAGGGTAATTTGGGGCTCGGAGAGCTTGTAGCTTAAATCAAAGGTAGGATTATCTCTTAAGGTGAAGTACTGTGGCCTCCTGCCTGGTTTTGGCAAGTGCTGGGTGATGTCTGGGTTTTTCCACAGCCTGTCCCTCTCCAGGTTGAGCAGAGCCCCAAAGCACGATGTCACAGCTGAACCATGGCATTGCCGGTGGCGTGATGCTGTTGAGCTATTTGCGTGACCTACAGTTACCACTTCAGCTGCACGATTTTAGTGTTCACCATCCTATAGAGAATTCACCCCAGATCAGCAGCACTTTCTTACCCCTTTGAGTCTTGTGTCCTGTCACAGGTCTCACTTCTGTCCTCTTCCACTTTGCAGAGTGGCAGCATTCCCGATGCCCTGTGTTACAAGGATGGGGACTGCCTGGCAGGGGAAGCAGTGGTGGCTGGCAATGGTAAGGCAAGGGTCCCTCCTCCTGGGCTGTGTCTGGTAGAGTCATGTTCCTTCAGAGGCATCAGCCTGGTTACAACCCCAGAAATCTCCAATTACAGAGTGGCAAGGACTTTCTTTTCTTTACTGTCTTCTATTAAGATTGCTGCCTTGCTTACGGCTCTGTGGTGGCTGGGCCAGAGCACCCTGGGCTGCTCAGAGGAGCAACAAGAGTGGTTGTTCCAGCTGAGAGGCCCCTTCACAGCAGGGAGGAGGGCTTAGGGTAGCAGTGAAAACCACCTGATTTTTGTGTGCCCTGTAGGCAAAGAGAGGAGGTGGCTGCTCTGCGTGACCTTTTCTGTGATGTCTGTGCTGCAGGGGTTAAGACTGGCCGTTGTTCGAAAGACAGGGACAGCATCGGAGGGACTTGTGAGATACTGGCCTGGTGCCCAGTGGAGAAAAGATCCAAGCCCAAGTACGTGGCCATCTTATGCTGTTTCCAAGCTTGAGCTGCTTGGCTTCTGTGTCACTCAGGGCGGTTTCTGGGCTCTCTCTGCTTGGATGCTTGCTTGAATGCTGGCTGTTGCAGTGCAGGAGGGAGCTCTGCATGGCCCCCCGGCAGGACCAGCCCTCTGCTCCCCCCTCCTTAGCTCACTGGCTGTCCCAGGGCAGTTTGCAGCTCTCAGGGCTTCCCTCAGCCTGCACGCTCCTCACCAACTCCTTGCTGGCAGTGTGGGGAAAGTGGCATGGCTGGTCTAGCACCATGGGATGAAACCTACCTGTTTCTAAAATGGCAATTCAAGTTTTAGCATGTGGGCAGGGTGCAGATGTAAAACAGATAACAAACCCTTCTCTTCCAGGAAACCACTTCTCGCCAGTGCAGAAAACTTCACTGTTTACATCAAGAACTCGATCCGCTTCCCCAAGTTTAAGTTCTCCAAGTGAGTGCAGGTGCTCGGAGATCCCTCTGTCTTCTCCATCACAGAACCAATAACCTCGGTTTGCTCCACTGTCCTTCTCCTGCCTGAGGGTTGGGGTGGGGAGGCTGATATTCCCTCTTCTAAGGTGCAGGGAGAAGCCTTTGGCTTCAGGCTGTGCAGGAACAAGGAAATAGTGAGGGCTTGGAGCTTCTAGAGAGCAACCGGGATAAGGCTGTCCTTCACCAGATGAGGTCTGTGATGGCTCCTACAGCATGGGGTGCACCAGAGCTCTAAGTCAGATGGATCTGTCTGCCAGCCAGTGCGTAGTGAGGTTCCTGAGCTGCTTTGGCTCCCAGATGTTCCTCCTCTTCCATAAAAATGAAGGTGCCTGGACAAAGCTGTGAAAATGCAAATTTAAAAATATTTGTTTGCATTTGCTGCTACAATATGAACAAAATGAAGAAGTGTAGAACGGAATGTGTTCTTGCTATTCTCCCAGGCTCAGCTAGACATTTCTAGCACCTTTATTTTTTCCCTTCCTTGAGAAAACCAGGTGGCCGTGGAGCACTCTGGCAACCTGTTCCACGCGAGTCCTTTCTTGAGCCCAGATTCAGCTGGCCTAGTCCCTGCCTGGCCTGGAGGTCATTTTTGTAGGGGCAGCCTGCTTTCCCTGGGCCAGCAGTGGAGAGGCTCGCAGGGTGACAAGACTGGTGGCAAGGTGCCATTTCTGTTGTGCATGAGGGGTGTTGGAAAAGTCTCTTGTCTCTGCAGTCTTGGTGGCATAGGCTTGTGCAGGCAAGCAGAGAGGGAGACAAGTTGGATTTCCCTCTTCCCTACGTGCAGGATGAATGTGCTGGCAACCGACAATGAGTCCTACCTGAAGACCTGCCGCTACAGCACGGAGCATCCCTACTGCCCCATCTTCCTCCTGGGGAACATTGTCCGATGGGCTGGGAGCGACTTCCAGGAAATGGCCTCGGAGGTAGGAGTGCCCCTCGGGCTCGTGTGGCTTCCCAGCTGGCCGTACCACTCACTGGGTGGCCATGACGAGAGCCACTGGTGAGCTGGGATCTGCCTCCTGTCCAGGGTGCAGTGGAGAGATGCTGGGTCTCAAAATCACGCTGGTCCCATTTATCCTGTCCCCAGGGAATGAGAGGAAGGGCAATGTAGGTCCTCTGGAAGAGGGGGTCGGGTCAGTTATCTGTTATTCAGGGCTACCCAAACCGCTGCTCTGCCAGCAGGGTTTCTTTGTTTAATTTCAACATTACTACACCATCAGTTTAAACCCAGAACTCTGGAACGCCAGTGGGGCTCCTCTGCTCAGAGAATGCCCCAGGAGGCTTCCCCTGTGGGAAACGGACGCGTTTCTGCATGGAGTCATGGGGCTCCAGCGCCAAAGAAGGCTGCGACCCAGTGTGTGTAGCCCAGGGGGGGAGATGGAGCCAGTCTGAGGCATCCCGGGAAGCACAGGGTGAGAAGAGTGCAGGCTTTGTGCAGGCTTCTGCACTTGTGAACCTCATCCCTGCATAAAAGACCCTCTTCTCTACTGAAGTGTGTTACAGCCACTTAAATTAATAAAATCAGTGTCCTGGGATGAGAATCTTCCTAGGATACCAGCACAGAGAAAGCTAGGGTTGTGTGTAGAGTAATGTGATTAATATCATAAGCATGAACTGAGCCCATCCAGAAGTGTGTGTGCTCACATCTGTGACCAGAAGTGCAGCTATTCTTGTCCCTGGGGAAAACTTGCCCAAGGATCTGACAAATTTGAAGACACATTAATTGAACTAAGCTTAAAAAACTCACACTGTCTCTCTCTTTCGTTAAGGGTGGTGTGATAGGAATTCAGATTGAATGGAACTGTGATCTTGATAAAGCCCCTTCTGAATGTAATCCTCACTATTCTTTTAGCCGGCTGGATAACAAGTTTGCAGAAAAGTCCATCTCTTCTGGGTACAACTTCAGGTAAGTAAAGAGGAGAATACGATGCAGTACCGCGGTTGGGCTGAGCTGGTTTGACTCGCAGGTGTTGGAGGTTGGCAGTGAAGCAGTACCCGGCCATGCCAGGCACTGCTCCAGCCAAGCACACTGCTTTGCAGAGGAGGGGAGGGAGGGACTCGTGCTCATGGCAAGCTAAAGCTGTTTTTGATAGAGGAATAGATCTGTTTGAAGAGATAGGTGAACTCAGATGGGTTCTTGTGTGGGGCAGGGTGCAGATGATGGAGTTAAAATCAGCATCATTGTATTCCAGGTTTGCCAAATATTACCGGGATGCTGAGGGGGTCGACTACCGGACGCTCATTAAAGCGTATGGAATCCGCTTTGATGTGATGGTGAATGGCAAGGTGAGGTCCCAGGCCAGAATATTTCAGAGCCCGGAGAGAAAAAGGTGGGGGACGTTTCTCAGTGGGAAGGCAGCTCTGGGATGAGAACAGCCTCTCTGGCTTGTCATAGGAAAGGGCTCTTGCCATTCATCCATGTGGAGCTAACCCTACATAAGAAAGGAGATGACCTAGAGTGCAGATGAGTCTGCATCTCTTTTACCTAAAACCAGGCTCCTGTAAAGTCTGACAGAAGGAAATATGCCCCAGAGTCTTGCTTTCCATGCATACACACGGCAGAAAAAAGAAAAACTAATCCAGGGGTGACGCAAGCTCAGAAACGCAGCCATGGACAATTGGATCTGAGACACACACAGACCTTTAGCCTCCAAGATTGTTCACTGCAAATCTTCCATGGTCGTGCCTGCTTGTTACTAACAAAACACACCCACAGGCACTAGTAGCTTCCCCTGTGTAACACCGCACCCTTAAATTTGTTTCTTGGGTCGTTCTTTCACCAAGTACTTCATGACCTTTTTTCTTTTAGGCAGGGAAATTTAACATCATTCCCACCATTATCAATATCGGTTCGGGGCTTGCTCTCATGGGAGCGGTAAGTGAATGTATTTTCTTAAAGTAACATAGATCCCTCATTTAGGTGGTATGAGGATAAAATGGGACGGTTGGTTTATATTTTCTCCAGCAGAGTTTTTGCTACTCTGCTCAGTCAGGTGCATGTCTGTCTCCTGTCTTAAAGGCATTTGTTAACATACCTTGTAGTCTAAATGCCCCTAAAATTACATGGTGTATGAAGGAAAATACAGCTCCCACAAGTTATTCTTCTTCCATGCTCATTGCTAATTAGATTAGAACACTTCCTCTTCTACTCTCAAGATGAAACACAAGTTCTTTCTCTTTGCAGGGAGCTTTCTTTTGTGACCTGGTGCTGCTGTATCTGATTAAAAAGAGTAATTTCTATCGAGGCAAAAAATATGAGGAAGTAAAGTAAGTGGGCTTGGCTTTTGTGTTTAAACATAATGGCTTTATTGTTATGACTAATAGAAATAGAAGGAGATATGGGAACACAGTAACCATTAATGGCAAACAAAGGCGAATTCCAGGAAAATATATTCCTCCAAATGAGTTTAGCTGTTACTCCCTCCCTCTGCAATTCATTGCTGCAGTTATCTGGGGAGCAAAGGAAGGTGCTGTGTCATGGATGGACTATAAATGGCCTTGCACTGTCGGTCCATAATGAGTGAGGAGGGAATTGGGGCAGCTCCAAGAGCTCCAGAGCCTCATGAAATTGAGAACTGGGGCTTTAGCTGTACGGAAGGTGACAGCCTTTGTGGTAAGGTGTGACAGGCCTGGCTGGGAACCTCTTGCCCACACTGCTTTCTGAAACAAAAATAGCCTGCTTGCCTTGTCTGTCACTTTTGCTTGTTTCCTCAGGTCCAGTTCCAGGAAATCATTATCTAGCCCTACGCTGAATGGGAATCAGAGCCCTGACCAGCTCGGTGGGCTCTAGGCACAGCGATGGGTCTGCCAGCTGGACTCATGTTCCAGGAAAACCACGCAGGTGTGAAATCACACCCAGACTGGGAGGTGGAGACACCCCAGATCAGGTCTACTGTCTATTATTGGGATTTCCAGAGGGAAAAAAAAAGTCCTTTAAAGAACACCCTTCTTACCCTGAGATGTTCTCTGGTATCCTGAGCTTGCAACAGTGTGTCATCGTTATGGATTTATAAAAGGATTTTTATAAAAGGAAAAAGAAGGCACCAAACAAAAGTTTTAGTATCTGTTGATAAATATATCTGTACCTACGTCAGTAGCCAGTGTTATCCCGTGGCTGTGCTTTGCTTCCATGTGCAAAAGAGCAGTGATGTGAAACACCACTGGCACTTTGAGGAGGGCTGAGGCCCTGATTCAACTCGTCTCCTGCTCGACTGGCTTGCAGCCACCGCTTCCAACTCTCGCTTGTGTTAGATGTAAAGCAGCAGGACTGCTCTTGTCGGGAAGTGCAATGAAATGCAGCATTTCAGCAGCTCTCTGAGCCTGAGGGAAAGGGACTTGTTATCCTACAACGCCCGTGCTGACTGGGCCTGTGTCACAGTGGGGGCAATTACTCTTACTGCAGTGTGTGAGTAAGCATTAGGGCCAGAAACGGTGCTCATCCAGGAAAAGCCTTCGCAACAGCCGCAACAAGGTGCTCTGCTCGTCTCAGGAACAGCAGGAGAAGGTCCTGCGCAGCTCTGAACGGGGAATCAGTTCAGCCACGGCTGGGTCCCAGCTACCTCACTGCTACCCACCATCTCCGTTTGTAGTTGGCCCAGAGAACCGACATTTCAGAGCACGGAACAGGTAACAGCAGGCAGAGGAGTATTTTGAGGCAAGGCAGGGATAGATGGTTTTGTGGTTCATAGTGGGGGGGTGGAGAAAGGGGGTTAGCGCACTGGAAAGCAACGTGGCACTGGGAATATCTGCACAGGGATGTTCTTAGGTTCTCCCTCCTTTGTTCAGTGGCTGGTGTCATTTGCTCAGGACTGTCCTTTCTGCATTGCTTACCCATGGCTCGCGGTGGGGAGAGATCTGACTTAACGCTTCTGCCGGTTTTTGTAGTACCCTGAGCTGTACTGCAGAGACTGAAAAGAGGTGTGTGGGGGGGCTCTGTCAGGTGAAACGGACTTTGCTGGGTTCTTCCAAATACACCAACAGGAGGAAAATGTAGCAGACAGATGTCCACTACTTCAACACTCTGGTAACTTCCAAGAAATACAAGTGCTTCTTTGTTTCTCAACAGAGAACTAAGGCTCACTGCAGCCCATTTTGTGAATTTATGATCATGTGGGGATGTAACTAATCTCAGAAGAGTGCTCATGGAATATCACTGTTTAAAGTTTGTGTTTGCTTGAGCTGTCAGGAACCGACCCACCAGCCCCTGAAGACAGTAGGTGAATAAATATTCCTGCCTCATTTAAAGCTTCCACAGTGTGGCTTGGTACAATCTGATCAGTGTTCTGTAAATGCCACCAGGTCATCATTGATCAGGAGTCATCATGCTAAAGACTGTGTGTTTCTGTGCACTCTTTGAGTATTGAGATTTAAAGGACTCCTGCTGCAGCATCCTTATGTACTGCTAGGACAGCTGTAGAGAGGGCGGTGGTACAGAGAGCTGCTGTGATCGCGTGTTACACACAAATGGAAAAGGCAAGCTGCGCTCACCTCTGCTTTAACTTCTTTCAGGTGGTACAGGTTGGCTCTAAATTAAAACTCACCTCTGTTAGCAGCGGCAAACTCCAAATCCAGTCACCAATAGCAAACCCCACCCAGTCTAGTCCACTCCCTCTGCTTCTGTTCAGATGCAAGTAATTATCAAGTCAAACATTTAGCTAGAATAGAATTACACAGTGGACTTAAAATAATTTAGGATAAGCTGTGTACCTCTGATGCTATAATCACATCCAAAGCTGCCTATTCATGCCAGAAGTCTCTCCTCCAGGCAACCATGAGTTAACGTGTGTATAACTGACAGGCTGCACTAGTCAGGCCCATTAGAACTACCACGCCAATACAACAGCACAGGCTCCTGACTGTCAGAGCTTAATTCTGTTTGAATAATTTCTAGATGGTGAAACACATGGTGAACCCCACATGTGGCATCATCAGGCTAAGGCACAACTCACGGAGACCAAGTAGCTCATTGTAACACATAAAGCTGACTGTGCTCTACTGAAACCAATGTTTCCACTTGACAAAACAACATCTTCTTGTTAGGTGACCAAAGCGATTTCCTGAATTTAAGTTTTCAGGGGCTTCAGGCCCTCAAAAGTCCCTAGGATATTTCCCATTTTTATACCCTCTGTTTAACACAATTCCCACAACCATTGCTGTTGATAAAACATAACCAGATTCCTTCTCAGGAGCTTGTTTCTTTGATTATTTTTTTTTCCTCCTTGTATTTAACATACAGCAATAAAATTTGTCACTTTAGGGCAATGCTCTCCAAGACTCTTCTGTACAGTGTGTTTTTTAGGTTGCACACACTGCCATCTCTTTGTGATACATACTTACGCTAAGCAAGTTAATTAAACACTAAGTTTGCGCAAGCAGGTCTATAGCAAAGATATTACCTGTACAGCAGGTGACCAAATTTTCCCTTCTGTTCCTGCCAGGGACATACAGAACCACAACACTGCGCTGCTCAATTACAGAAAATGCTAGCAGGCTTACACCTGTGTTCAGCACAGAGTGAGCCGGCAGGTAACAGGACGTTGCACTTACTTGGTCGTGTTTCGTTGGACACAACTGTACTAAAAAGAAGCAAGTGTTTGACTTGGGAGAGCATTACTTAGCGACTCTTGTACATGCCAGTGAAGAGTATCTGTGACAATGTCATTTATTGATAGCGTGTACATATAGCAATTGTGGAAATAACATTTGCACTAGCAACTCAATTACATTTCTGTACCAAACCTTCACGTACACTTAATTACATGCTACTGTGCAGTATTTCCTTGTGCCAGTGGATTATTTTTTAAGAGGGCTGTGCTACACACTGCTTTCATTGGTATTTGCGTGTAGGGACAGGCAGCAAACCTAGAAGGGATTGCAATTGGTGTGTCTTACCCAAAACACAAAGGATACAAGGGACTACGTTAACCAAAACCCATAGTTGTGCCTGCAATTAGGGACAGAAGTTATTCCTTCACCACCAAACAAATATTCCTGGGAGGCATCCAAGTGGTGTTTCACATTCAGTTTAATTAGAACAGTACTACTGATTCATTTGTACTTGGACATAATTTACCGACAAGCGATGAACAACGGTTTAAAAGGTAAGCTGGCCTAGTTGTGTAGATGACTTTTGGCAACAGTCTTTCTGCTTCATTAAAAACCACTGCAGCTACTGCGGCTCCTAGTCGTTTTAGTAGACGTGAACCATGCCGTACAGGAAAGTCCAGAACAGGACATACGTGAAAAGCCCTCCTATAAGCCCCCCCGTGAAAAGCGGCCTCCGGGATTTAAAGTACTTGTTCCATCGCCGTCCAGCTTTTAAGACCAAGAGCACGGAGAGGAGGACGGAAGCCAGGAAGTAGAAGATGAAGCCGTGCAGGCCGGTCAGGCCGAGAATCCCCGCCGTGGCACCCGACAGGGCCGACACAGACGTCCTGCAATAGTCCAGGATGGCGGCGTTCCCCCGCACCGCCGCTTCGCTGATGAACTGCGGCCCTTCGCGTTTGGCCACCACCGCGGCCATGGCTCCCTGCCGGGCTCGGAGACCTCCTCTCTCCCAACGACACTGGGGGAAACGAGACACACACTGTACCGGCCGGGGGCGCGGGTGGGGGCGGCTGACTAGCCCGGCGCAGCCCCGGTCCGGGCCGAAGCGGAGAGCCGGGCCCGCGGCACCGGCCCGGTGAACCCGCTCGGCTCCGGGGCGGCCGCTGCCCCCAGGCCACCCCCAGGGACACCGTTCCGGAGCGCGG